TTCAATGTAAATTTGAATCCATAGACTGTATATAAAAGATGGCTACAGGCATGGTGAGGTCACCCACTGGTTTTCCATTCTGCTTTTCCAAGCTTCTACATTAGCGCTTTGGTCTGGCTGTTAGTTGTCTTCATTATTATTAATATTATTATTATAGCCCCGGTTGTGTCCACTCGGTTGTTGTTGCTGGTCTTTAAATGCTACCACGTGGAAAAGCACGACAGAGCAAATACTTCCTCTGTTGTGCAGACTGAATTCTAAATAAAATTATTAAAATGTGCTATCAAAGCTAATTTTTTAATAACAGAACATGATTTGTTTACAGTGAAGATTTACTAACGTGACATCTGCAGACTGGCTCTTGTTGACACTGTAGTTTGACAAGCAGGAATGAAAGTTCACATCCTGATTTAAACAATGGCCCCTATTATGCACGTCCGCCCACAGAAACAATATGCTGAGATGATGATATCACTGCAGTACTGCTCGGCTTTGTTGTATTTCACCTGGAGCAAATATTTCAAACAGCTGACTGAGCTGCATCCAGAGACGTACTGTACGTGCACACTGTCGCGCATCACTGTGTGCCGTTTATTACTGATCTGTGGCATTCTGTTGACACACAATCATGCATACTCCTCTGCTCTTGTTCCTGGAAACTGCCAAGTTAATCATAAACAAGGAAGTATAATTAGAGTCCAACTGGACATTACTGTGTGATACCTTTCTGACACTTTGGGAATATGCCTGGTGATTGACCAAAGCGTGCAGAAGGATATGTACTCACCCTTAAAGACAAAGTTGTAAGTCTCATCTGACCCCATGTTTTGTCCATTCAGTGTTGCCTCCTCCCAGTTTACAGCAGTCTGATCACAGGATGTAAGATGACACTGAGCAGAGACCAAAATCAGCTTGACTTCAGGGAAGAAACTGGCAGCAAAAAAAGGTTTTAACACGAGTGGCAGTCAACAGCTTTCCTGACCTTCACATTCTTCCCCTCCCGTGTGAGTTAAGAGAAAGCTGACTTGTTTAAACAGGACATGTGGAGCGTATCCAGGTCGTTCTCCTGCAGCAGGCGGGGCCTGAGTCAGGAAAAGGCAGAGCAGCAGTGGAGGTGTGTCCAAATAATGGAGTCACTGCAGGGCAGGTTGGACAGGTGGGGCCAGTGGCAGGTACGGCAGAGGCGGACTCCCAAACGCCTCCTGGTGGAGGAGACGGCTCCAGGAAGCGAAACTGCC